TGAACACTAATACCTGTACTTTCTACTTCTTACATGTTGAACCCAAATTCCTGTACTTTCTACTTCTTACATGTTGAACACAAATACCTGTACTTTCTACTTCTTACATGTTGAACACAAATACCTGTACTTTCTACTTCTTACATGTTGAACACAAATACCTGTACTTTCTACTTCTTACATGTTGAACTCAAATACCTGTACTTTCTACTTCTTACATGTTGAACTCAAATACCTGTACTTTCTACTTCTCACATTTTCCAAACAGGCTGGTTCCTTTAGGAATGTGTGTTTGGTGGCGTGATCATTATTATTTAGAGTCATTGCGTGCCTATTGATTTGAACACGATCCGTGTATCCATCATTTCCTGGTCTTCTCTAAAGAAGAGGGACCAATGAAAACGTTGTCATGTTGCCGTTGTTCAGCATGGAAACATTCATTAGCTAACAATGACATTATTGTTCTATTAATATAAAGGGAGGTCAGGTACTCTTTAAAACAGCTGCTAGTTATGGGTACTTTTTACTGAAGTACATTTCAAAGCCTCTTTACTTTGACTTGAGTAAAGAAGTTTAGTCAGTACTTCTACTTTCACCAGAGTATTTTGAGTAAAGGATGTGTTTCCCATCTCTGGCAGTAATGGATCTTCCCCTCCTTTCCCCTCAGGTGGTTTTCTCCAGAGTCGCTCGTGTCTGTAAGAATGATAATGGCGGTTCCCCGAGGGTGCTGGAACGTTACTGGACGTCATTCCTCAAAGCCCGGCTGAACTGCTCCGTGCCGGGAGACTCCTTCTTCTACTTCGATGTTCTGCAGTCGCTGACAAACGTTCTGCAGATCAACCACCGGCCGGCCGTGCTGGGCGTCTTCACCACGCAGGCCAACAGGTTAGAAACATGTTGTCTCTGCGCAGTGTCAGCTGTGGTTTGAGCACGTGTTATTCTTTGGGAGAGATATACGAATAGCAAAGTCCTATCCCGTTATACATTTGTTATTTGTTAAGACTCAAACCCACCTGTTTCCTTTGCATCTTGGCCAACCAACACAAACAAAATTAGTACTTAGAAGTTGTAAGTCAATAAAGACTAACGCACCAGCACTAACAATGATATGGCTTATTTTGAAGGACATGTCATGCAGGTTTCTTGAAGATCTGAGTTTGTATTTCCTTGTTTATTGCATTTATTGTAAGTTCCTCTGAATAATACATCGGCTACTGTAAATAAAATGTAATATAATGTAGACAAATATATACAAAATGAGTTCTTTTGCTAATATATTCCTTGACATAAACACTCCACAGAAATGTAAAAATAATGTTATAACTGTGCTTACAAGGTTACATATTGCTTTACAATTATTTAAGGCAAACAGTTAAAAAAAGGCAAGATAAAAGCAGGACAACAAGTATTTCCATGTCCATGTTTCAACCCTTTGCTATATGCTGAGCTCTCCTTAATAAAAAAGATAGAAGCTACACCAGACGTTGACAGTATGCTGATTCCAGACCTTTGTCCCCATCTTTTCTGATGCCATCTCCCTCTCTGGTCTCTAACAGCATCACCGGCTCTGCAGTGTGCGCTTTCTACATGGACGACATCGAGAAGGCCTTCAGTGGCAAATTCAAAGAGCAGAGGAACAGCGAGACAGCGTGGACACCTGTTCCCGAGGATCAGGTCCCAAAACCAAGGTGAGAAAACACATCTTTAAATAACAAACTGTCACTTTCCAAGAACATGTTTTTTTTTTCTGCCTTTAACAACGGAGCTTTTGCAGCTGCTGTTGTTCTGCACAGACATCTCGGAACAAAAAACCACAAGCCGTGACACCTGTTCTTCCTCAGAACCAAACGGATGCCACTGTTTTCACATCTTTAGTCACTGCTGATTGTCGGGGAAATATTTTGACCCAGTTTATCAGTTTGTGCTCCTTGATCACAAACCTCAACCTTGGGCTATCTTTAATACTTTTGTTATGCATGCTTCTTAGGTAACATTATGTTATGTATATGTGAGGCGTGTGGTGCAGTGGGTTGTGCGTTGATGTTCAGGTTC